AATGGGCAGCCGATGTACTGGGGTCTACCTTCCTCTAAGTGTGCCCAGTGCAAAAATGGGCAGCCGATGTACTGGGGTCTACCTTCCTCTAAGTGCGCCCAGTAGTACAGAATAGCAGGCCCTGCCTTTTGACCTGTTGAATATCTGTGGATGTGCTTGGTATATGTTCCCTCATAGGCCGTTGGGCGCCCTGGGCTGCCAGGATCCTCTTTAGAACCCCATCTGGAGGCATCTCAGCATCTCCCAGTGCCCAAGCACCTACCCAACTCTGGAGGGGCTGATGAACCCAGTGACCTGGAGGAGTTGGAGAAGTTTGCCAAGACCTTTAAGCAGCGGCGCATTAAGCTGGGCTTCACACAGGTTTGGCTTGGGGGGAGGAAGAGGAAGAAATTGGGTTGAGCCAACAGAGACTGGGCTTCCTGGCTGCAGGGTTCCAGGGCAACCAGAAGCTGCCAGTGTTTGGGGCAAGTCCATCAAGTCCCTGTGCTCCCTGAGAGGGTGGCCCAGTGAGTAGGGGAACCTAAGACACTGCTGGTGGCGGGAGAGAAATGAGAGCCAGGCACGGGGCCCATCCAGACTCTAGGGAGAAAAATAAGCCAATTCTCCGTCTTAGAGAGAAATAATGTGGAAAGGAACCAAAGGAGTGGGTGGGTGGGTGTCTGAGGGTCTCTGGGTATGTGACAGATATGAGGATGGTGAGGGGTGTGGGTAAAGAGAAAGGGCCTAGCTCTCAACTTCCTCTCTCAATTCCCTCTCGCAGGGAGACGTGGGGCTGGCAATGGGAAAGCTCTATGGCAATGACTTCAGCCAGACAACCATCTCCAGATTTGAGGCCCTCAACCTGAGCTTTAAGAACATGTGCAAGCTGAAGCCACTGCTGGAGAAGTGGCTGAATGACGCAGGTGAGCCTCTGGGGCAAGGAGGGGTGTGGCCGAGAGGATTCTGCAGCCAAGGGGCTGGCTAAGGCCCCCACTCGCCTAAGTAGGGGCTTTCAGGAGTTGATGCTGAGCACCCCCTGTACTCTCCCCCTGAATCTGGGCACAAATGAGAACTGAGACGCAGGGACGAAGGCAAGGGAAGATGAGAATCTGCTTCATCACTGATAAGGCCCTTAAGAGGGAGTGACTTTAGGTCTGTGGCCCTGAAAATGTATCCTCATTCCATTCCTGACCCCAGACCTACCCAACCGAGACCATAGGACAGCTCACCAGAGGCAAAGTTCAGGTCTGCAGAGCAGACACACTTGCTCAGATTGCTGTCTGATAGGACTAGGTCAGAGGCAGCGGGAGGGGAGTAAAGGAACTGGGTGCTCTAGGGTCTCATGCCTGGGAGGGGGAGGTGGCAGACACAGTACAGGGACTTCCGGCTAATTCTTGAGTCACTTGCCAGAGGGCAGGGAGTGACTGCGAGCTAGACTGTGAGCTAGAAAACCTTACAGCGGGAGTGGGCCGTGCAGCAGGACTCACTCAGACGTGGAGGCTAGGGAAGACTTCCAGGTCAAGGGAATATGCCTACTGCAAAGGATGGGAGTAGTGAGTTGAAGAATGGTGACGGGGAATAACGCGTGTTTCTCAGTGCTGGCATGTCAGTCCTTTGTTGCTGAGGGCTGCCCAAAGGATACTGTAGGATACTGAACAGCATCCCGGTCTCTATCCACTAAATGGCAGTAGCACCTGTCCCCCCAGCTGAGACATCCAAAAATGTTTCCAGATGTTGCCAAAGGTGTCCCAAGGAAAGGTGATGGTGCAAAATCATTCCTGTTTGAGAACATAGATAGCTGTGGGTTACTGAGCACTTGGAGAAGGGAGGGAAGGGCCGGAGGGTGGGTAGCCAGGGGGTTACCTTCTCAGAAGTCCCTCTGCAGAGAAATGTGGAAGAGGCAGTGAGGAAGCTCCTCCAGAGGCAGTCCTTTTGACAGTGGGAGATATGCCTGAGGGTCTCAGGATCTCTGAAAAGGACCCTGTAGGTCATGTCCATGAGCAGACAGCTCTCACTCCAGCACCGACACTGAAAAGAAAACAGCTTCCTCACCCACATTCTGCCACCAAGGACCCAAAGCTTCAGCCACCTTTTCCTTGGTGTGCACATGCAAGCCTCCTTGCAAAAGACGGACTCACAAGAGTCACTGGTAGGAGATCTGGCAGCCACCCCTCACACCCACACATGCCACTGATGTCCGGGTGTCCCTGAGCCAGGACTGCAAACACCAGAGGCTCTGTGGTGGGGGTCACCGAGGACCTTTGCCCTGAGAACAAGGAGAAGCAGGATTCTTGGTCTGTTCCGGTCTGGGGGAGGGGGTTCTGAAAATGCCACTGCAGAACCGAGGGTAAGGTTGGTGGCCTCACATCTGCTGAGACAGGCCCTGAGCCGGCTGCACATGAGCCACCATGAGTTTCCTCTGCTCTTTCTCCTCTCCACAGAATCCTCTCCCTCAGACCCCTCGGTGAGCACCCCCAGCTCTTACCCCCCACTCAGTGAAGTGTTTGGAAGGAAGCGGAAGAAGCGGACCAGCATTGAGACCAACATTCGCCTGACTCTGGAAAAAAGATTTCAAGATGTGAGCAGCTGCTTGGGGAGGGGGGAGGTGGGCCCACTTGCATAGGTGGGCGAGCAGGAAAACACCCCACCACATACCTGCCCGAGGAAAGGATCTAGCTGCCAAGTGTTTGAGTGAAAGTCTTCCTTCCACCCGAGTTCCTGGGGCACTTTCCCACCGAACCTGTAGGTAGTGACACCTGCTCTTGATCCTTTTCAATGGGAAATGGGTTAATTGATTTTTTTTCCACTGGGAGATTTTTTTTGCTTAAAGATTTATTTATTTATTCACATAGACCTGAGGTACAAGCAGAGGTGCAGGGGTGGTGAGAGGATTCACCAGAGACAGAGCGGGGAGCAGAACAGGCAGATCATTGAAGTATACTGCTGAGGGGAGCAGCGAGTGGGTCAGGAGAGGTCTGCTGCACCGTGTGGGTCACCTTCGGGGCCAGGGATCAAACCCGCACTGAAGCGGCTATGGCCGGCTTGCAGAGCTGTGTCCCAACCTGTTGCGCCACCAGGGAGGGCCTCACTGGGAGATTTAGGGCCCCAGAAGAGGGTGTATCTCTGTACTCTATTGAGATAAAGGGAGCAGAACCAGGATGTGGTATATAAATTCTTAATTTTCTAGGCATTGTTTTGTATTTCTTCAAATTAGAAATGCAATATTCATCATAAACAAGAAAACACCAGGAATTTTTTTAAAATACCATCAAATATCATCTAAATGTAGTTCCTTCCATTTCTTTTTTTCCACACATATTAAAATATTTGTGATTTTATTATATATACATATATGTATTTTTTTTAACTTGTTGCAAAGTCATATTCTTTAGCTAGTACATAGAAGCCAGTAATACCAGCTCTGTGCCCCATTAGGCCAGGGAGAGAAGAGGGAAAAGCAGGGGTGGTCTAAACAGTGCTGGCCAGGATGCCCAGATCCTGAGGCTCCAGGGTCTGCGCCTGCACACAGGCACCTGAAGGCAGGTCTGGCCCAACCTCGCAGGCCCCGGGCCTCCAGCTCTGCTGTTCTACCGGCTACCGGCAGATTCTCCAGTGTATCTGCTTAAGAATATTTTGGTGGGCCCTCCCTGGTGGCGCAGTGGGTTAAAGCACAGCACTATGAAGCTTAAGCCGCTTCCGCATGAGTTCGATCCCCACCTGCCCCGGAGGTGACCCACATGGCGCGGCAGACCTCTCCTGACCCACCGGCTGCTCCCCTCAGCAGTGTTCTTTGTCGATCTGCCTGTTCTGCTCCCCACTCTGTCCCTGGTGAAGCCTCTCACCCTCTGCATCTCTGGCCTGTACCCCAGTTCTGTATGAATAAATAAATAAATCTTAAAAAAAATATATTTTGGCTGCATCCTGCTGGCAGGATGAACAGAGCTGGTTTTTCAGTCTGATTAGGTTTCTCAGAGTAAGAACAGAAAGGAGAGTGTAAGAGGAAAAGAATGGGGTTTTGGTCAAAGATGGGGGAGTAGGAGGGGTCAGAACAAGGGAGTACCATAGGTTTATTATAAGAAGTAAAATATAATGCATACACTCAAATATACACACACGCACGCATGAGAGAGATATCTCCCCTGCTGTTTTCATAGTCTGCGTGTTTTAGCTTTATCATTTCCTATTTTGAAGTAGGAAAAGAAGAAATGAGGAGGAGAACATCAGGTTATAAAGAAAGAACTCAGAGGGGAGCATAACTTCTGGGGATTCTGCCTGCCCCACATTACTCATCAATGGCCTCCTCTTTTCAGATCTTCTGGAAGGAAAGAGAGAAGAGAACTTAAGTTCTTGCAGCCTCCGCTCGTATGTCAGAGCCTGTGCTTGACCACATTGTTTTTACTTAATCCTCTTAATAATCCTCCATGTTAGGCATTATTATTTCCATGTCATAGGTGACAAGACTGAGGCTCAGAGAGGTTAAGAAACCTTCCTAAGGATGCACAGTAAGCGATAAAGCCAGAATTACATCCAGTGGGAGTCAGGTCTGATTTTAAAACTTTTGCTCCATTTGTATGTTCCACTGTATGTTTTATTCATTCTTGGTGTCCCATTTCCTAGGAACATCTGTCCTCCAGCCCTGATTCTTGACCCTATTCCTTTCCCTTCCTGATCACACTCCATCTCTGCAATCTCTGCAGAATCCCAAACCCAGCTCAGAGGAAATTTCCATGATTGCAGAGCAGTTGTCCATGGAGAAGGAGGTGGTGAGGGTCTGGTTCTGCAACCGACGACAAAAGGAGAAGCGAATCAACTGCCCTGTGGCCACACCCGTCAAATCACCCATCTATAACTCCCGGCTGGTGAGTGACAGGGAATCACACTGTCTGCAAGCACTGGCGGAAATGACGCCTAGAGTGCAGAGTCTTTTCTATCCTGGGGACCAGGGAGGTTGGGAGTTGAGGGGGTCGTGCAACAAGTAGATAAGCAGAAATGTGGCTATAACACACGTATAACACGAAGAAGCGTGAAGGGATAGAAAGAAATCGTCGTGAAATTCTTTCGTATAGGGAGATCAGAGAGGACTTCTCTGAGGAGTTGATATTGAAGCAGAGACCTAAATGTTGAAAGGGAATGAAATGTTTGGAGAAAAGACTGTTCAGGGCAAGAAGGACCAGTGAGTAAAAAAACCGGGCATGAAGGAGGTGAGAAATAGGAGATGAAATCAGAGAGGCAGCAGAGAGTAGACTACCCAAGTTTGTGGAGGCCGTTGCAAGGACTCTGGCTTTTAGTTTGCGTAAAATGTGCTGCTGGACAGCACCGAGCAGAGGCCATGGGCTGGTGGAGAGTGATCTATGTGGCAGGAGAATTACAACAATTGGCAGAGTGGCAGAGGATTGGGCAGGGGTGGTAGCCAGGGCAGCGAGGCAGAAAGCAGATGGATTCCCCGTAGACTTCCACCATGGAGCCACAAGATGTGCTGAGATGCAGGCGAAGAGCAGAGAAATGAGGTGAAGATGCGTTCAAGGAGTTTGGCCTGAGCAAATGATTGGATGGTGCTGCCATGTTTTGAGGCAAGGAAACTGCACGAGGAGCACATGTGGTGTGAGGAGGGGCAGCTAAGACTTCAGACCTGCTCACCCTCAGTAGGACATGACTCCCAGGCTTCCAAGTGAGGTGCCAAGTGGACAGTTTCAATCTCTGTGATCCTGGAGCTTGGGGGGAATCCAGAGCTGGGAAGCGCTGGCAGGTCAGGAAGACCTCGAAGCTTGTGGAGTAGAAAATCTCATCACCATCCAGGGGAGAGATGGAACCAGAAGGGTGGGAACAGGAGACGATGGTGACTGAAGGTGAGGATGATGGGGACAGAGGTGCTGTGCTTGAGTCTCTCAGCAGTGAGGGATGGGTAAAGTCCAGCCTTGTCTGGGGTGGGATGTAGCTGTTTCATGTGAACTACCCACTGTCCATTCGTTCATCAAACATGTGTTGGCCCTCAACGATCTGTTGGCCACTGTGCAGATGGCTGGGCTATGCAAGGAAGTATTTGCTCCTGTTCCAGAGACCCTTACTGCTCAGTGGAGGAGACAACTAAGCGAATGATAAACAACACGGTAATTTCTCTAGGAGAACCTAGGAGTAGCAGCTAACAAAGCCTTCGGAGGTGGTGGTTAGGAAAGACTTCCCCAAGGAGATAATTACTACCTTAGCTGAGTCTAAGAGGACAAGAAGGAGTGAAGAGACAAATAAGTAGGGTGGAGTTCTCATGGGGGAAGGATAAGAACGGTGGTTTGGAGCAGGGAGGATACGTGGCACATTCACGGAACTGCTCTTGGTTCCCTAAGGAGAAATGTGAAACTCAGAGGCTGGACATCAGCAGGGGCCAGGCCGAAGGGACTTTGTGCAATGCTAAGGAGCTTGGAGGTGGTGGTGGGGGGGGCATTGCTGAAGGATATTAACAGGGCATTGGCATGATTAGATTTACTTTTTAGAATGATCACTCTGACTGCAGTATAAGGGTAGTTGGAAAGACACCAGATTGGTTGCAGGGAGACCAGTTAAGGATGTGACGATCGTTCTCCAGGAGAGAAATAATGAGGGCTAAAACAAACCCATGTGGTAGGAATGAGGAGAATGGGAGAGATTCAAGAGATAATTAGAAGGTAGCAGTGTTAGATCTTGGTTAATAAATTGAAAACTGGGTAGAGGGAGGGAGAACCAGGAAGGAAAGGGACTCTTCTGGGGTGATGATCAGCACTCAGGCTGGGCTCCTTGGGTGGGTGGTTGGGCCACTGATGGAATGAGCAAGCATGAGAAGGAGGTGGCTTAGGAGTAGAGAAAAGCGATCACTTCAGGTCTTTACATCAGTATGGTGTACTGCCTGCCTGAGGGACACCCCACTGGGAAAGTCCCTGCACACTTGAAATTATGTTGTTGGAGGCTAGAAGAGAAGAACAGGATGGAGATGTGAATGGGGAATCATAGCATGCAGTGGTAGTTACAATCCAGGTATGGACTTTAACCCTATGGAGTTTATACAGGGGAAGCAAAGAAGACGGTCCAGGTCTCAACCCTGCGGACACCAGCCATTTGAAGGGCGGCAAAGAAAGAGGATCAAGGGGAGGAGGAGCCAGAACTGGCAAGAAATGGCTCCGAAGTAAAACATGAAGGGTGCTGGACAGGGAGACACGCTAAGGGAACACAGATGAGACTGCCAGTTCAGAATGGGGTCTGAGAATGGGCCTCCCCACTCAACTGCTAGAAGAACAGATTAGGAATTCACAAGAACAGCAGCAGGCAGAAGGCAGGCCCTGTGAGTGAAGGAAGAGCATGGAATTATAAAACAATATGCCACCTTTGGAGAGCCTGACATCTCAGTCTGGCTGGAGGGGCTGATGAGGGCTGGATCATTATGGACCATGGATGCTAAGTTACCTGAAAAGGTGGAGGCAACATCATATTCATTCATCATTCTTTCCTTAAATATTTTGGAGAGTTCACCATATGTCTAGCCCTGGGACATTTGTGCTTCCTGCTTACGATCCAGCCGGGGAAACAGGCAATAAGCAAATGCTGTTTGTGGTGAAGACTTCAAGAAGACATGCAAGTATTTGAGGGACTTCACCAGGGCATCAAGGGCTTTACTGAGCAACGATGATCACACAGACCCCAGAAGTATGAGTAGACATTAACGGGAGAAGCAGGGAACACAGGAAGGAGACAGTGTAGGGAAGAACATTCTAGGCAGAGGAAAATGTGTGTACAAAGTCCCTGAGGCTTGGGTGGGTGGAGCAAGAAAGCGTAGAAGGTTGGAATGAGCTGGAGCCCAGGGAGTGAAAGAAAGTGTAAATGAGGAGGCTGGAATGATGGGCGGGGGCTAGATGATGTAGGGTGTTGCAGGCATGTTAAGGAAACTGAACTATGTCATAAGAGCACTGGAAGCTTTAAAAAAGGAAGGTAGGTCCCTGATGGCACAGGAGCTAGGTCTCAGCACTATCAAGCTATCTCCTGCCACTGAAGCATGAATCACATGGTGCAGCAAACCTCAGTTGCTCCATTCAACAGTGTATTTCGGTAGATTAGCCTGTTCTCCTTCCCTCTCTGTCTCTAAAGAATAGTCTCATCCCCCCCAGTCTCCCCCCCCCATCAGTTCTTATATGCATGAATAAAATAAATCTTAAAAAAACAGTAAAAGAAAAAAATGGGAGGTAGGTTTTCACTTTGGTTCAGTGCTAACCCAGGACAGGACACCAACATGGAGAAAACTAGTTCGACAAAGAGGAGGAATGAAAGGGCCTCCCTATGCTTATCATCCACTCAATGCATATTCACCGAGCATCTGCAAATGTCCAAGCACCGTAGTTGACACTGGGAGGTGTGGGAATGACCAACAGACATTACCCTGTCCATAAGACATCGACCGCCTAGGGAGGGAGAAAGACATTAGCTAAATCATGACACTAATACTTGCGATGTGAAGAAGGAAGGGGATGGGGAAAATGAGCTGATCTCTTCTTGGGTCTCATCATCAGGACAGTCCCTTGAGACCAGGACCTACTTTCTTCTTCTGATATGAAATAACCTCCAAGACATCCAGTGAAACAAAACAAAACAAACAAACAAAAAAAGCACAGAGCTGCAGACCAGCTTGGGCAGAACACTACCATTTATATTAAAAGTGAAAAGGGGGATCCATATGTAGGTGCGTGCTTGCATCCGCCTCGCCTGTCTCCAGAAGAAAGGGAAGAAGTTGGTCACAGTGACTTCACACACTCTTTATTTTAAAACAACAACAAATATCTTGGGTGTGGCAGCAGGGAAAGGAGGAGGAGAAGAGGGAGAGAGATTCTTGATAACATCTCTTACCATGCTGTCTCCACCCTTTGTGGGCCCCCAGCTTACTGAGGAAGCTCATTGTCAAAGGGCAGGTAAATGAAGGCGGTGAGAACCACGGCTGATTAATTAGGAAATGAGGACAGGATGCAGCCTGTCAGGATGGGATGTCCCACACACGGACCGGAGGAATATCAGTGCACAGCTCCCCAGCACAACTTCCTTTCAAAGTCCTTTGAAAACTTGGATCAGAGCTTCCATAGTCAGCAGTCAGTGTGAGAAGAATCCGCGGGGCTGGGGGAGGGAAAAGATGCAGATTTCAGCTCTAAGAAAGAGGTGTGCAGCCTCCAGCGAGGCTCTGTAGCTGACAACCTCCTTCAAAAAGGAAGGGAACTAATCTTTAACAAGCTGGCACTCTTTGCCAGGCATTGAGTTAGAAGCTTCATGGACATTATCTCATTAAATCTTAATTAAAAGAAAATATCAGGGAGGGACGACTGCTTCTTTACGCCTGAGAAAACTCAGCCTCAGTGGGGGTAGGTGGTTTGTGCAAAGTCACTTGCATGGTTAGTGTGGGGGCCAGTTTCACCCCCTCACTCCCAGATCGGCGGGGGGCTCTGGAGTTCATTTTTTTTTTTTTAGTTCATTTTTTTTCTGTCATGTCTTTTTCTAAGTTGGGCCAGGAGATAATACCAAGGGGCGATTCCTGAGCCGTGTGGGAAGTTAAACTGAATTATCCTAGGTGCTTTCTAATCTGAGAGTTGATGCTGCTGTGAGGTTTCCAGGGTGAGATGAGAAGCTTCAGAGAGCAAAGCTGTTCTCCTCTTGTTATCTCCAGAAAAAACAAGGCCCACTCCTGCGTCCCGCTGGTGAAACCAGAAGCAGTGTTCTTGGGGTTGCACAGCCTGCTCCCCCAAGCCAGAGCTGGAGTCTTTTAGGAAAGGATTGGGGGCTGGGGAATTGGCACCACTGGCGGGGTCCTTCTCTAGAGCACTAGAGCAAGGCAGCTTCTACCTGTACCACCTTGAATCCTTGCCAGGGGGTACTCCTCAGGGAGACTGGGCCAGCACCAGGGAGCCTGGGGAATAGGGTCAGGCTGGAGGGGGCGGTGCTGTACGGTGTCCCGAGGCCAACTGTGATGGGGGTGCATGTAGGCTTGGGGTTAAGAAATCACCAAGGAACTTGAGCACTGGTTTAGCAGGCTGGGGCCCTGCACCTGGGAGAAGCACCGGAGGTTCCAGAGGGGAGGGGAAATAGATGTTTACAATTTCTCTTGCCTTCCAGGTCTCTCCCTCTGGGTCTCTGGGCCCCCTGTCTGTCCCACCTGTCCACAGCACCATGCCTGGAACAGGTGAGATTTAAAATGACGTTTCTAAATAACCCCAGAATTCCTTTAAATACCAGGCTGTTAGAACTGAAGGATGCCGATGTAAGTCCGCATTCCTTAAATGCATTTTAAAGAAGACTCAACCCTGTGAAGGGTTTCTTAGAAAATTCCAGGTAAGCAAAGCTGAAACCAGTGTCTGTTTCTTGTCATCACTGCAGCACTCCACAGCCCTCGAGCATGCTATGCTGTCCTACATGGCTGCCTGGGAAGCTGAGGAAAGCAGGGTTTCCCAAAGTCATTTGGGAAGTCAACTTTTCCACAAGTTCCTAGAATTCCTCAAGGAACTAGTTGGAGGATCACATGCCTGGGAAGGCCCTGGCAGATCCTCCCTCTGCCTCCTGCGAGGACATAATTATGGACAGCACTTAGCTTCGTAAAATAGATGTCACCTTACCCAGGAAACACTGTTCAGGAAACTCAAGTACCCGAACCTGCCATTGTAGAGAGGACAAAAATGATTTTGGGGGAAGTGAGTCAGGTCATCACAGATCACAGTTGCTTCAAAAAGGGCCGGGATGAGCCTTGGAGTTCCTGGTCCTGAGCATTCTTTCTAGAACATGGTGCACCTTCCACTGTGGAAGTAGGCAAGCTCGAGCAGCCGGCTGTCTTTTATGTGCCCACGGATTTCCTTCCCGCCCTGTGTACTTCTCTTTCCTCCTCTTCCTCTCTGCTCCTCCCCCACCCCCTCCACCACTTGGTGTGGAGCTGTGTGTGCCCAGCCCTGGGTGTGTCCTGCAGTGAGATGATGTTGGCATCTGTTCTCCTTGAGTTTGGCAAGTCTTAGACTTGCAGAACCAGCCATGCTGCTCTCCAGGGCCTGGGCTGAGGAGAGCGTGGATGATGAGAGCCCCTCTGGGGACGGGTGTTGATTCTGACAGGGCAGGAGGTGGGCAGATGGGTGGGGGTGGGGAGAGGGTGAGGTCCCTTTGAGGATACACATCTGAAGGGCCATGTCACGAGGTCCCAGGACCCATAAGCATTATTTTCCCTTGTTTTTGACTCTCCTTGTCCTCAGTAACGTCATCCTGTTCCCCTGGGAACAACAGCAGGCCTTCGTCTCCTGGCTCAGGACTCCATGCCAGCAGCCCCACTGCATCTCAAAATAACTCCAAGGCAGCGGTGAACTCCCCCTCCAGTTTTAACTCTTCAGGGTAAGACAGAGGGGAGCACACAGGCCCCCCAGCTGGCCAAGGGCCTTGTGGGAAGCTGGGCTGGCTCAATGGCTTGGGAAAGAAAGCTGGTCACGCAGTTGGATACAGGGAATGGGGTGGCAGGGAGGGAACAGAGTGGAGAGCGAGGCTGGACATCATCCCTAGGGAGGGGGATTTAAAAGAGAAGCTTCAGCCAGTGCACAGTCCTGGCAAGGAACTGATGTCAACAAAGCCAAAATTTCCATCCTCCACCCGGAGGATGGAAATTTCCAAACACTCCTGTTCAGAAAGGGCCAAACAGTCCTTCACTGGACTTAAAAGTGCTGCACTTCAGGCCAGGAACCCAGTTCTCAGGTGTTCCAGTGCCAGCTTGAGCTCAAGCATGGCTGACACAGTGAGATGGTGTTGCCTGCCACCTCCTGCCCCCCCCCCCCATCGCTGGTCATCTCACACTCCTACCTGGGAGGCAGTGGACAAAGCAGCCTTTGGCCCCTAATTCGTGAACCAAAGAATCTGCTCCAGAAATATTCTCACAGCAATATCTTGAGAGATTTTTCCTTGCTTTAAAAGAAAGCAGAAACCTGACAGTAAAGGGACAGGCTGAAGACCTGACCTTGTCCAACCCAGGTCTTTCAGCAAGGCAACCAGTTCTTCTTGACCAATGACTGCAAAGCCCAAAAAGTTGGCGCTCCTCAGACATCCATGGAGAGAGAGAAAACTACGTTACATGCATTTATAAAAATGTTTATCACTTTAGAGGGAACAGCACCATGCTTTTCAGTATATTCGTAAGGTGGCACAATTTTCAGCATTATCTAATTCCAGAATTACATAATTTAATTTTCCCCTCCCCAGAAAAAACTCTGATACTGTTTGCAGCCACTACCCATCCCGTTTTTACTCATCACATGAGTAGCTTTACTGATTGACTTGTTTCTTCCTTCCAGACCTTGGTACCGATGGAATCATCCCACCTACCTCCACTGAGACCAAAAAGTTCCTCCTGTTCCACCTAGTCTGTACTCCCCCCCC